GTGCCTATGGTTTTAAGCCCTGGAAAACCCTGCCTTTCAGCAGGCATATTGCTTCTCTACTCCCACCTCATTCCCTGTGCAGTAGATGATATGCTCAATCTTATTCCTTCTCAAAGAAACAAAGGAGAACCTCTCACATCCTCAGGATAGCCCACACCAAGTGCGAGTACACAAAATATTACTTTGTGAAATTTAAAGAAAATATGGTGTATTCTACCAAATGAAAAGTGCTCTGAAAATGTTTCAAATTGTATGGGTTGAGTTCTTAGAAATAAAAAATACTTTAAAAGGAGAAAATGAAGTTAGTTGCCACAATTCTGTGAATAGTCTACATTCATTCATTCTTCTATATGCTCTTGGAGTATTAGGAAGACTAAAGGAAGTGAATAAAAACTTAACTTCACAGGCTTGAATTCTGAGTGTTTGTAATTTTTAATTCTACACATCTTATAATTCCTGAATACATGCATTTAGATGGAGTACCTTAAGAAATCTCCTCTAGCTTTTCATCATGATTGGAGAGAAACAGAGCATGGTGGATGGAATGGTCATTTGAAGAAGGCATAAAAGAGATTAGGAAACAGTAGTTCCTAGGAAGAGGAAAAGCAGCATACCACAGCTGTGCCTCTTACTGTGTTTTGAGCAACTTCCATAGATTGCCTTGGTCAAGGGAAGTTGGTTTCTTCCATCTCACTACTCAGCATCTCAGGGCTGGCAAGTTGATAACATTAGTTGTGCCTTGCGAGGCCCTGAAAGCATGGCTGACCTCTGCCTCCAGGTCTCAGAAGCACCACAGGCCACAGACAGCATGCTTTATTCATATGTTATTGCCTGAGCCAGGGCCTTAGGTGAGCTCTGTGTCACTGTCTTCTGTTCCCCAACCTCACTTCTCCATTCATCAACATGAAAGGGGTTTGGGCCTTGTTTTTTTATTTTGTTTTGGTTTTGTTTTGTTTTTTTCATTCACACCAACTTGAGGAATTTGTCAGACTGAAGGATCCTTCCTACTTTTCAAGTCCCCCAGGGATACAAATTTCCCTTTCTCCACATGACCATGTAATACATACATCCATTACAGCATGATATAAATAAATAATTTTATCTCACAGCAGGAAAATGATGTAGAAGGAGAAAGAAGTGCATTAAAATGGTTCAGAATCAAAACTCCCAGCTGAATAAACCTTGTTTTCACATTTCTTGAAGGCTGAAAATATATTTCTGTGAGCTTGGTTAGGAAAGGGAATAATGTATCACTTAGATAAACAGAGTGTCTAAGAATGTTAAATATTTTAAAATAAGTTGCTTAGTACAAATACTATTTCACAGGGGAATTGTTTTCTATTGGTTCACAAGGGCTAACCTTGGCACTGGCAAAAGATAGCAAGTGCTTGTTTAAAGTACACTAAAGGGTAAACAGAGCCATGACTACACTAAATCTATGTTTCAAAAGTGGAGTTATGATCTCATTTCCTGTGTATTTTAAACTTGTGTAATGTTGTCATATAAATATTGGAAAAACCGAGGGTTATTACAACCGTAATAATAAGAGGAAGAATGCAACACAGTAGTCCCGAATAGAAAGACAAATGCAATTTTTAGAAACCTAATTGAAAAATAGCAGCAGAAATTCTGCTGCATGGAAAAAATATATTAACCCACCTTAAGCTACCATAAAAGAACAGGAAAAAATAGGTACATCATGAAGGTAGAGAAGTTTCTGTATTGCTCTTTTTTACACAGAAAGCCATTGATGAAATTTAAGAGAGGGTGTTTTCTGTTCAAAGACTACAAGAGGAAAAGTGCAGCACATGCTATGTGGATGGTATCCTGAGAAAAATTCAGAGCTAGAAAACATAGAAACAAGGGCTTAATTTCTTGTCATGCATTTTTCCCCTTATTGCAACTTTGTTGAGTCCTATTACACGCCTTAGTTACACCAAGCAGGTAGGAAAAGTAAGTCCAAAACCCAACAGAATGTTTGTTTTTTTATTTTATTATTTCTGAAGAAACAAGAGGTAAAAATGACAGAGGATTCAGTAGAAGACTTATGCAGGTCTTGCAATAAAATTATGGAAAAAATAGAATCTTACAAAGACCCAGATGAATAAGATCTTTTGAAAATGGGACCTCATGCAATTTGGATGCTCTTATTTATGTTCTGGGCTGTCAAGTGTGATCCCACATGGCATTTCCTCTCCACACTTACCTCTCCCTGATGGATGAAAGGGGAAATGCTCTGTAAGAATCCATATCCATCAAACATTATGGGATATGCAGTCCAGCCTAGCATGGAGAATAGAAGAAAAAGTATTCTTAAAGACAGTTCTCAAGAAATCCTGCAAATAATTTTGAATCAGAGTGCTTCAGACTCCTAATAAAAATTGAAAATATTTCAGTTCAGGCCTTTTAAATGTTTCAATGGAATATCTAAAGTTTCTATAAAAAGATTTTTTTTTTTTAAATTACAAAGCTTCTAATAATATAAATACGATATTTCAATAGCTCTACTTTTTCTTACTATTCAATAAGCATTCATAAAAATCATCGCATTTTTTCATTTGTCACAGTGCAAGCCATAAGTGTCAGGTCAAGTTAGTAGCTCCCTGATTAGGACGTCCCCTACACAGAGACAGAATAAAGCAGAGTCTTTGTCTGGTATTTAATATTCTTTTGAGTTTACTGGGACATATGCTTACTGGATGGCATCACATGGCCTGCAGAAAACCCATCTTCTGTTCCCTCTTAAGCTCCTGAGGGAACTGGAAAAAATTTGGACTCATGACCTCAAACGAAGTATTTGGCATATGACCCTTTATCTTTCATGCAGCATTTAATAAAATCACTGGTAGAGTTTTCCAGTGCACTCAGAATAATTTATCTGTTTTAATTAACCTGACTATATTTACTCTTTCCCGTGTGACACCTTGTGCCAAGCTGCACATGATCCTTTCTCACTTTTTGAATGTTAAGTTTAACATGTCTCATGTACGTATACTACAGACTTCTGAAAGTCTTGCCTGGCTTTCTATTTTGGAACAATTCTCACTCATTTGTTCACTAGTTTCAACTACATGCTGTGTGGAGTAGCAATGCAGAACACCCTGCAAAATCATTGTCCTACTTTTACTTGTCTCAGTTCAATGTAACCACTTTTTCCCCCAGCACCTCCACATCTCGCATTTCTCCAAGCCTTCTCCCACCCAACCTCCTCCTCAACTCCCACCACTCTTGCAAAATTTCATATTACATTTCTAGCTTACTTGTGTCTTCCACATCAGCTCATCTTCTCAGAGGAGGCTTTCTTGTTTTAAGAAATGACTGCTTCAAAATGCATGCTTGTTTTATTAATACAGAGAATAAAAACTGTTGTGCTATTATGAAATAGCTCCTTATATTTTGGAAGAATTTTGTATTTATTACGTGGACATTCATGACAATTTAACTAGTCACTTATTTGCTTTTAGGTGCTTGGATTTTCAAAATGTTGACTTGGACAAGGTTTTTACGTGTGATGTTAAGAATTTTCTTGCGTCGCAGTATTTATTTTCCCTTACCCATCTATTTTTGAAGAAACAGAAGACAAAAGTCATCCAGTGAGTCATGATACTCACATCAGAAACACTCCCAAGGAGTTAACGTTTGGGTGACTCTTTGGGTAGATGCATGGCTTCAGTGGCTTTGTGCAAGAAATGCACTCATGCTGAATTTAATGAATTTTACAAGTTTATTACAGAACAAAGGCAAACAGCGCTGGGCGCATGGTCAAAACCAGAGGCACGCCGGTTATACCCGAACTCGCCTTTTCATACACTGTGCTCATGGCGTTTCCAAGGGGTTATTTTAATATTTCAGGTATCTATTAACATAACTCCACCCCAGACCACCCCCACTTGTGCGCATCTCTTGTGGTTCGGCAGGGCCTTCGGGGATCTGCAAGGGATGAAGTCAGTAGTCTTCCTCTGGCTGCACTTTTAACCCTGTCGTTTTCCTCCAGTCGCACTTTTCAGTATTTTCATGTTAAACTTCTGTTTTTCCTTTGTTCTTCTCGTATCTTTCATGTCAAATAATCTTTGACCCCCAAAATGCTGTTCTCATGCTAACAAATCACCCCTTATCTTCTTACTTGTGTTCTCAGTTTCACTCATCCTTGAGTCCATGTCTGTTTTTCTGTGTTTTCACAAATCTATCTACACATCCTTTAATTACTTGAGTTACTGGATGTCTTATCTCATCAGAAGAAGCTATATATTCTGCTTCTGCCCATTTATTGCCTACAAACTATAAAATATAATTGATGCCTGGAATATATCAACTACATATTTCCCACCTTAAGGCCTAATTTAGTGGCAGTGAGGCAAACATCCTTTCGGGATGTAGCTTATGCAGTAGTTAGGCAAATTTCAATGTTCTCGCTTTGCAAAAGCCAATATGCATTTCACGCTGAGGATATGACCTATAATGCAAAAACTAAGGCCACTGCACGCCTTGCTGACACCACTGCTTTCGGGCACTGAAGGCCCAGGGATCGTTTTTCACGTCTCTCTTCCCCTGTTTTCCGCAGCTGCCGCACGTGACCTTCCCTCAGGGCCAGCCCGCGCCTCAGGCGGGGAGCCCGCGGCTGCGGGCCCCAGCGAGCTCCGCGCGCACACCGCCGGGAGGGAGGGAAAAAGGAGCGGAGACCCCCAAGAGAGGCGTTTACAGCACGGACGCCGGAGGGCCTGGCCCCTCACAGCCACCCCACGCGCTCACAGCTGCCGCCTCGAGACAGCCACTAATAGCCTCCTCGTTCAGCTTATGAGGCGGAGCGCGGCGGTGACGTCGCACCCCTCCAGCCAATGGCGGACTCTGCTTACCGGGGGGGGGGGGGTGTTGCATATTCATGAGGAAGGCCCCCACGCCCGGCGGTTGCCGCAGCGGCTCCGAGCGGGAGGCGGAGCGAGGCCGCCGGCCTGCCCCCCCCTCTCCCCGCAGGAAGCCGCGCGGCCGCGGTGCGTATTTATGCTGAGCCCCGCAAGGAGCGGCTCGGTCGAGCGTGGGGCGGAAGCGCCCGGCAGCTCTCCCTCCCGCCCGGGCGCAGGCGACGAGAATGAGCCAGAGAGACACCCTGGTGCATCTCTTCGCCGGCGGGTAGGTGAAGCCGCTGTCCGGCGGGGGAGCGGGCGCTGGCCCCGATCCTGGCCCTTCCGCGCGGGCTGTCAGGTGGGGCCGGCCGCCCCCCCCC